TGTTTTTTTAACTTTAAACCGCATAAACACATTTCATTACACCATATACACAAAATAATGTTCTTTTTAGCAGCATCATATGACCCCTTTAAGAACTTAATTTTCCCTTTAAAGGAATAGTTCATCCAAAAATTATTATTATTAGTGCACATCATGTTGTTTCAAACGTATTTGACTTACATAACAAAAAATTATAACAGTAAAGAGTAAATGATGACAGAAGTTTCATTTTTAGGTGAACTGTCCCTTTAAGGATGTCTTTTCTAGTGACACCAATACTAATATACTTGTGATACAAATAAATTGGCATAATATTGTTTAAATATCATGTTTGTATGTGATTGTATGGTTAAATAAACACCAACAGGGTTCTGCAGCAGCCACAAACCAAATAAACAGCAGAGCCCTGTTTCCTTCTGCACTGACGTTAAGCTCAAGCTCTCACGTGACTAATAATCACACATTTTTAAGGCTGTCCTTATGGTTTCTTGATCCAGGCCGCCTGAATCAACTCACGCCCCTTGGGCTGATTATTAGAAAGGCAGGCTTGTGTTACTGTGAACCTCCATTGTAATAAAAGTCTTTGGATTCATGTGAAAAGGAGCAAAGTTCTTGGCAGATCATTAAAGTGCTGGGGCTCTGGGGTTTGTTAGCTCATACACACTTTGACGTGCCCTGAAATTATGAGTGAACTAAATGAATGTTTTAATGTTTTAAAGCTCTAGGTAACCCAACCATGACTATGTCCTGCTTCTGAATCTCTTGCCGTGAGGAGCGAACCCAGCCAAGACAGCAGTGGACATGCACTGCTATCCTCCGCTCCACAGGGGGTGCTGCTGGTAGAAGATATCAGGAAAGGGTGTGTGCACTGCTCTGGCCATGGATGACTTCACTACACGCACCTATGGCACCAGCGGCATGGACAACAGGCCTCTGTTCGGGGAGACGTCGGCCAGGGTAACACACCTGCTATTTTTTTATTAGTATTATTATATTGTTATATATAAACACACAGTTCCAGACCATGTTTTTATTCTTGAATATCAGTTTTGCTTAGGAAAAAAATGTCACATTGTGGAAGCAAAATAGGTTGAGAATGCATTGTCATGTTTACTTAGATTGCACAGA